CCACAAAACCCCAAAACCCCAAAACCCCAAAACCCCTAGGCAGTCCTAAGTGTTGAAAAGTAGGAAACCCACATTCATGTCTTCAGCATTCGTTATCTAGTCTTCAAAAGTTTCTTTTACTAACCGCCATTGGCAAACAATTCAACGCTCGTTGTTTTGGCTAAGTCTTTTGAGTAGGCAGTTTGGGTGGTACATGTGTTCTCAAGGAACCAAAATGTAAGTTCCGTCTGGATAACTTTTCCAATTATCAGCCCATGAGCTCTTGTATTCCAACTCAGGACGGTCCAGAGGATTCAATCAAATGCTTCAATCTGGGACTAGATCCTTACTCGAAGATTTTGCATAAGTGTGTATCATGAGATCATAATTAGTTAATCTCATATGTCTAGGCAAGAAGAACCGAGAACCGCGTGTTTCTTGCATTGAAACTACAAAGAGCCCTACGTAATGAGAAGCAAACACATAAAAAGCTTGAATCATACTTAAACTCGGGTAATAGAAAGAGGGGCTCAAGAGAGTCGTACGGGACAAGATCATTATACCTGGCAATATTAAATACCAATCACCTTCCATCAAAAACCTTTTGCCAAAAAGAAAATTAGCAACTGCTACTAGCCACCAAATATTGGTAGAAATGAAGAACAGTTTTAAATCGAAAAATAATGTATTCAAAAGAAATGGTTCAAATTTCAGAACCAATAGTCCTATCAGATATGTCATAATACTTAATCCTGTCTCTACAAGTAAAGTTTTGCATCCTCCATGACACCTTTCTCATCACACAGAGTATCAAAAATAAAGCTATAAAGGTGATAAATAATTTACAAAGGAAGTGACACCATATATCCAAATTGCCCAATTCATCCCTTTGGCTACTAGCCAAAGATATCCCATGGTTTGACCCAAAGAGTACAGAGTCAGCATTCAGATAGCCTGAACATACTTTGAGATCAACAGCATATGAATCTTGCCTTTTAAATTCGAGTTGAAGAAATCTAAACTATGAGACTTAGCTTGCCTGGAAAGAATGAGTCATTGAGGAGATTCCACTGAATCATTATAATGAAATAAATCGCAAAAAGTAACACAAGAATTGATATGTAGCCAGGAAAATAAGATTCATCTACCGTCACATTTATATTGATGTCTATCATAGATGAATCCCCAAGCAGAGTGTTTTGAGCAGATGTTTCTTTATTGATGACCCTGTTCTTTGTTAATTTGAAGTTAATGAATTTCCCATTAAAAATCTCATACTCTAGGCCTCCTTGTAAATCGGTTACCACTCCTTTGCGACAGAAAGTATGGTTGGCATTTTTAAGTTCTATATTGGAAGAAAACCTTACCTGAACTAAAAGCATAAACTTTATTTGGGTTCATAATAATTTCTTTCTTAGGAAGCTTAATTATGTGGAAATAATTGCTCGAGTCATTATCTAAATTAATCATCCAAAATCTCAAATAAACACTGATGGACTATGTACTAATTATGATGCTTACTCTCTTCATCACTTTGCCTGACCTCATTTGCATTCAGAACAATATAAACATATGAACTCAAAGCATCACAACTCTTGCTATCTGAATGATTTCCCAACGAGTATGAAAGCAAATGCATTGTTGGATATTCAATAGAGACACTATAATTCTGCTCTTGTTCAGTGTTATAAAGCTTGTATCCAACCTTCCCTTGGTCTTTTGCAAGTACCTCCCATTTACCTTTCCTAAGGATAAAAACCTATTACTTACGAGGAATCATAGTAATTCCAATATCTAATAAACTTGTGGTTAATACCAAAATCTTCTTCCTCAGTGACATGGTGTAATTCCGCTCCAGAGCATTGCATGTTTTCTTCAGAAAAGAATTTAGTAACTAAATGTTGGTTACAAACAAATTCATTGGAAAATAAATATTCCAGGGAATGGGCATGCAAAGGGAGGATCATAACAAGCAGGAATATGCTTATTACAATATTTTCATATTTAAAATTCATTATTAATTATATTGTGTGGGGTTTTGGGGTTTTGGGGTTTTGGGG